TTTTTGTTTTCTTTCAGTCCCAGGACGCAGCTGGCTTCTGTCTCCAGTCTATTGGTGCAGTTTGTGCCTCATTTAGTGTGTTTTGTCCCTTCTGGGATCTCTGTATTTTGTGTTTTACCCATTTTCTATTTGTGTGTCCCCCTCTCTTTCTTTTGATCCTCTCCTTTTTTTTTAGGTAGCCTGCTGCAGGTTCCCGTGGAAAGGCTCTGGGCCCTGACAGGTTCACTCTGTAGTATTACAAGACTTTCCACCAAACTCTCACCCCCACATTTGTATTTGTGCAAACCTTTAATTCTTTGATAAAGGGTAAGATATCTCCTGGAGACGTGCTATCGGTGCATATTTTAGTAATTTATAAAGAAGGTAAAGATCTGTCTGACTGTGGTAACTACCACCCATTGCCTTACTTAATGTAGACCTGAAGATCTTTACAAAAATTTTGGCTACTTGATTGCTTTCCTACTGCCCTCCCTAATCCATCCAAATCAGGCAGGATTTATCCCAATGAGGGAGGCAAGGGATAATGCTCTGCGGACTTTGAACTTGGTTCACCTCACCTACTCATCTTTTGCTTCTCTCCACGGATGCCGAAAAGGCTTTAGATAGGGTGGGTTGAGACCCTATCCTATTTGGCCTTGGACCAAATATGAAACAATATTGAGCCGTGTATTCTAATCCTATGGCAAGGGTGAAGGCAGATAGAGTCCTGCCAGATCCTGTCTCCAATACTAATGGCACTCAGCAGGTTTGTCCCCTTTCACCCCTGAATTGTTGTCCTTAGTATGGAGCCGCTACTCTCTACCATTTATAACTCTCCTGAAGTCTAGGAATGGCTTACACCTTTAGGCCATCATAAAGTGGTCCCGTATACAGATGATTTATTGTTCTTCCTTTCACAACCCACAAACTCTTTCAGTTCTTCTATCCCAACTTCAATGCTTTAGTCGGCTTCTGAATGATCAAATCAGTTTACTACACCAGAGGCTATGAGTGTTTCCCTAGTGCCATTGGCTGTACATCAACTACAGGTTAATTTTCCATTTAAATGGTCAGATTCCGATATCCGCTACCTAGGCACCAACACTTTGGCCAACCTCGCCCGCCTCTTTTCTTTAAATTTTCTTCCCCTCTGTTTCGCTGCTTAGTTTGGGGGTCTATAGAGCCCTTCATTTCATGGACAATGGTAAGTTTTTATCGTTAGTAAACTTGAGAGCCAGATTTGCCAGAAGGTACAATGAGTGGCGACTTCTTCAACTGTGTCATTGCTTTTGTTTTGCCAACCCACTCAGTTTGAGCAAATTTGCCTTCAGTCCCCACCTCTTAGGCATGCCATCTCTCTGGCACATTTGAAGATCTTAGCAGAAGATAGCCGCACCCTTCCATCGAACTTGCGCGCATGAGAAAGATCTTAGGGCTTGTTGAAAACCAAATGTAGACCAGATGTGCAGGAGTTTCTGCACACGCAGTGCAGTGTGTTTTGCCATGTTTTTGCTGCATTCCGGGCTGTTTTTGTAAAAAAAAAAAATTTCGCCTAAAATGGGCTTTCAAGGCGTTTGCATTTTTGATGTGTTTGCATGCATTTTGGTGCATTCCAGAGCAGAAAAAATAAGGCGTGCTGCAGTTTTTCTACATGCTCCGGAACTGAACACTCTGGTGTGAACTAGAGCCCAAAATACCATTGGAATACATTGGATGCAGTTTTGATCCATTCTGTAACTCCTCTGCTCTGCACCTGCTCTGCGCTTGGTGTGAACTAGCCCTTAATCGTGAACTCACCCTTAATCATATCGATAGGATCCTCCATTTTGCTCATAAAGCCTCTGTCTCCTACAGGGCCGGACTGGGACAAAAAATAGGCCCGGGCATTTTAGACTGAGCAGCCCAATCACATGACCCCTGACAGGCCCCGCCCTATCACAATCTGGGGGTGGAGTCAAAGGAATATTTAAAGCTGTTATAGCGGCAAAGGGCGGAGCCAACCCAATACTGAACACTACAGACTAAGGCTGGTCACACACCTTACAACCATCACAAGACTTTTGTCTTGCGATGGTTGTAAGGTACTTAAAAAAAAACGTACGATCTGCCTATGTTGCATAGGCAGATCGTACTTGCGATGATCGCAAGCTACGCCCCCTGATTTACAGTAGTAGAGGTCACACGGCTCCCACACACCTTACGATAATCGTACGATCGCGGGATTTCCCGGGATTATCGTACGATTATCGTAAGGTGTGTGTGGGGACCTTAAGACTGGGATGTCATTAGAGAGCGGAGCCAACCTAATATTACCCATATATATTAATATTACACATTTCTACAATGGCATTACTGCCTACAGACCTGCAAAGTTGGCTAGTTGTCTTTGACTGGCACAGTCTGCACTGAAATTCCAATAGGTGGACTGTTCACGTGATGTCTAGCCTAGCAAACCTAATAAAAAGCAATGGGTTTCTAAGAGTGGAAGTGAAAAAGTAGAGAGCGGTGGCAACTTTGCTGCTGTACTCATAATCAGTCGTACAAGGAGCAGTACACCAGCCTCCTAGCACCCTCAGCCATGCCATGTACCAGCCCCGGGGACATGCACCCCCTGCAGAGCCTGTAGGCCAAACTGGAGCAGCACCAACACTTCCTCCTCACACCCCACCATCTCATAGTCTGGCCCGTTTCCTCTCATCCCTCTCAATCTGGCTCCTGGCCCCCCATGTGTCCAGCATGAGACGAGGTGGTGGAGCTCCGGTCACTCAGTGGTGATGATTCGTCCCCACCTCCCCCCGGTCGGCTTACTTTCTCCTGGATGCTGTGTTCTGTGTTCCTTTGAGCACAGTGTCTGTCCTGCACAGGCCTCCTGGGTCTGATGTCAGCTGGTGGGGGCGGGGCCGGGGCCGGCTCCATCAATGTGTGATCTGCCTGGCCGCTCTGTGATCAGTTCAGAGCGACCATCGGGCATAGCTGACCAGGCCGAACAGAAACAGGCTGAAGGTGTTCGGGCCGGCCCGGCCCACCGGACAAGTGCCCGGTTTGCCCTATGGCCAGTCCGGCCCTGGTCTCCTACAGGATTCAGGAATCAGGCTATAAATTACTCACAAGTTGGTACATGACCCATCTCAAGCTTGATCAGATTGACTCTCGGTGCCCCAATGTTTGTTGTAGATGTCAAGCCCCAGAAGGCTCTCTTTTACATCTTTTTTGGGACTGTCCTAAACTCACTCTATTTTGGGACAAGGTTATAGATATCTGCTATGAACTAACAAATGTATGACTGGAGACCCTCTCTTGTTGCTTTTCCATATCAACTCCCTTTCAGTTGAAAAATACAAGAATTTGTTATTGATTCATCTTCTGAATGCAGTGAAAGCATTCCCCTCTTGTGAAGAAGGCCTGAACCCCGACAAATATATTACTGGTTTTCTCATGTTAATGAAGCCTCGTTGATGGAAGACCAAACTGCTGCCTTTGACTATACAGAGGAAATGTTTAGTAAGACTTGGTAAGGAAAACACAATATTTTCTGGAGATCCGAAACCACTAGCTAAATCCCTTTGTGTAAAGATTAGGCTAGTCCTGCATGTCTTGTAACCATATAGACTTAAAGAAAAAATCTTCCAGGGATAAGAGATCACTGAAAAAAGTGGTTACTTCACAGACCGGGACCAGCATATGAGTATAAATATAGTATTTTATTGATTACAAAAATATAGAACACCATCAATTTACTTCTTCCCCAAATTCCCAATAAAAAGGCAACATTGTCTGTAGCACTCTAGCACTCACTCATTCATTCCATGGGCCCCACACACACTAAAGGCAAGATTTGATTCCTCAGGATTTCAAAGGATGATAATTTGATCTCAGACTAATCACCAATTCTCACTCACAATGGAGGCCTTAGCAGTTGCCGTCCTTTGGATTCATGATTCTATATCAATGAGAATATATTTTTCTTCCTTATGTGAGAGAGGGTGATATTATTGCAGAGAGTTCAAATGGTATATGGTATAGTGCAGGGGTGCCCACAAGGTCGATCGCCGCTTCTCTGGATCCCCGCTGCTCTCCCCAGCGGGGATCCGAGAAGAAGTGAAGAAAACGGTGAAGTGAAGAATGGTGCTATTCATCTCCTCACACACATGAACAGTAGGGCCAGACCGCTCGTCCCCCTCCCCAGGCCGTATCTGAGCTCCCCCAGAGTCCAGGCTGGGCGTGGATTTTGCCGGGTTGGCGGTCACCTGGCTCCCACCTCCTTTCGGCTCCCGCTCGTTACGGCTGTCGGAGAGTTGCAGAGAGGACAGGGTGCTGGACGAGCCGGCGCCATCTTGAGTCCGCGGCGAGCCCGTCGAGCGGAAAAATTCAGTAAGTTTCCGAGGGCCTTTCTTAGATTTTCGTTCTCTCCGACGGTCGCTGGGGTCAGGGGCACACATGGGTAGTATCATGGGAGTCCTCTGTGCTAAGGATTCAGCCCTAGGATTTCAGCTGTGCCGGAGCTCCACTATCCTGCGACCATCCGTTGATGTTGATCTTAATGAGCTCGTCATTTGAAAAGTAGATCTCCAGACGAAAAATTGTGGGCGCCCCTGGTATAGTGGATTTCTTGGGAGCGAGACAACCTGTGAATAGGTTAATCCAATGATTCCAAATAGCTGTTGGACTCAGCCCGTGAATAATGTTCACATTGGTGTGTGTGAATTACTCAGGTCGAGAAGGATGGTAAAAGCTCTGCAATTCCAGAGATATCAAATGAGTGACACCGCTATAGTCGTGGCATAGAAAGTGAGGGGGAGACACCTAGGGTAATATTTCGTAGTGTTCCTGTAGTTGCCTCTATTCACAGTTAGATGTCTCAGACCGCATTCATTCGCCATGTTTCAGAGTCCTGTAGCTTGTTGCTTGTGGAGATATTTTGATCACGGTTGTCCCAAAATGGTCAAATGGTACTCATAAGAGGAGCAATCCATTTTTGGTCATCCTTATTATCACCGTTTTTGATAAAGTCTATAGGGGAAATGACGTGTGTGGTCACACGACTTGCAGATCAAGCATGCTTGGTCGACACGTTTCGCCCCGCCCACCGGGGCTTCGTCAGAACCTTGTGGATGACTGGTGAGTGGTTATCTTAAATCACCCTTTCACACCTGCTGCATTTTTAATTACATCCATTGTATATGCTTCGTGTCAGAGTTTGATGAGGGCTACACATTTAAACCTGACTGTCTTTCCTTTTGTAACAAAAGCACACAGAAGACCAGGACATTATTTGTAAATAAAATAATAATAAAACACCTACAACATTAAGGAATACATCTCAGAGGAATACATTTAGATGTAGTGTGTTATTAAGACCTGAGGGTAACATGGTATTAAGCCTATATATCCACATTTTCTCTTTCTGTAGGAGCACTTTGTCAAAGTCTCCCCTTTGTGAGGATAGGTTTAAGGCATAAATACCTTTCACCCTGAGACCTTCCAGAGATGAATTGTCGCAGTCCGCAAAGTGTACCGCTATGGGACTGTCTATGTCTTTATTTTTTATGTCCCTAAAGTGTCCGCCTGTGCGGATTCGTAATTGGCGTTTTGTTTTACCCACATACAGTTTTTTTTACATGGACATTCCAAAGTGTACACAATTCTGCTACTGCCACAATTAATATATTGAGTAATTTCATATGATTTTGTACCCACTGAATTTTGAAAGCATTTTGTTTTCTCAACATATGGGCAGACTTGGCATCTTCCACATGGATACATTCCCTTTATTTTTGGCATAGTGGATAAAAATGATGTAATGTTACAGTGAGAAGCCAGAGTGCTTCTCACTGTAAAATTATTCTGTCACAATCTCCTCCCCATGGATCTTATTTTACCTTTTCCAGGGCAACAAACGAGTAGTAGAGTGGTCTACAGAGTGTCATGGTTTATGGAGCGTTCCATTAGGGAGGGACGTAATACTTTCTTGTCTGATCCATGAGCAGTATGAACACATACCACATTTGAAGGTACCTAAACTTGTCTTATTTTCCATAGTATCTCCAGTCATGAAATGACTGTGTACCACTCAAATCTTATAAGATGGTAAAATTCTATAAAGTGTCTCCGGAGCCGTACGAACATATTTCTGTAATGTGGGATCACCCACCAACAAATACCAATATTTATCCAATATCGACCTGTTGATGATTTTGAAAAAATCTGGTAATAAATGTCACCGTATTATGTTGTATATCATGCAAAGGTGCTTCCATATGTGGGTAGAGTAGATCCATTCTACTTTTCCCTTTCACTTTTTTGTATGCATTTTTAAACATTTTCTTACTATATCCCATCAGAAGTAAACCTGATTGTAAATTTTTGTCCTCTCTTTCAAACTCAGTGTCATTTGTACAATTTCTCTTTAATCCTGAGGTACTGGCTGTACAGTATGCTTCGAATGAGAGGTGTGAGATGCCCACTATCCGCTCTAAAGATCGTACCCACAGTAGGTTTGGGGAAAAAGACTGGTCATTAGAGTCCAATCTGATTGCTTGGAAATATGAACATGCAGGAAAGGCACTCGGGCTACATCTAAGAACATCGTAAATTTAAGATAAATTGTGTTAGAATTGATCAACCCCATAAATATGGCTAAATCCTCCATAGTACCATCCCATAGTAGGAATACATTGTTGATGTACCTGCGCCACACTAAAATGCAGGACAGGTACATAGAGATGCCCACATCTGCAAACAATTGCCTCTCCCAAGCCCCCGGGTACAGGTTGGCATACGATGGGGCACAACATGTCCCTATCACCATCCCCTGTACCTGGAGGTAATGGGTATCCTGAAAAACAAAGACATTTCTAGTTAGAATATCTCAGGAGTTTAAGTATAAAATTATTGAATGCCCACTGGAACTTATCCCTTTCCGATAGAAAGTCCTTGCTTACTCGAATCCCCCATTCATGTGGTATACTCAAATATAGGGCCTCTGTGTTAATTGTGACTAGAAGCGCCTCCGTTGGAACATGCATATCATCAATAACTTTCAACAATTCAGTAGTGTCTTTGATATATGAAAGCAAACTGCTGACATGAGATCTTAAATGTATATCTACCAATTGGCTCAATTTTTCAGTTAGTGATCCCACACCAGAAATTAATGGTCGTCCCAGGGGTTTATGAACATTTTTGTGTACCTTTTTGGGAGAGATTAGAAAGTAGGAATTTTAGGAAATGCTATATTTAAAACATTATGTAACTATTTATTAATAATATCTTCTAAGAAGGCCTCTCTAAGAATCTTAACATACCTTATTTGCCGGCGTATAAGACGACTCGGCGTATAAGACGACCCCCTACTTTTTGTGTTAAAATATAGGTTTTGGCCTATACTCATTGTATAAGACGAGTATAGCCCAAAATAATGTTTAAATGCACCAACTAACCTCCATGGCGGTATTCCCGAGTGTGGCTCGGGGTTTATTTTCAGTACCATAAGTGGTAACCCCCGAGCCACACTCGGGATTACAGTCTCTTACCTTGTCCACGATCCCCGCAGCGTCCTCCATCTTCCGGGTTCCGTCAGCTACATACAGTATACCGCGCTGAGCCAATCACAGCAGGCTATGTATTCATTAATACAAAGCCTGCCGTGATTGGCTCAGCGCTGAGCCAATCACCTCAGGCTTTGCATTCATTAATACATGCTTTGTATTAATGAATACAAAGCCTGCCGTGATTGGCTCAGCGCGATATACTGTATGTAGCCGAAGCTACATACAGTATACGCGGCGTATAAGACGACCCGCGATTTTCGGGCAGTGTTTTTGGGTCTAAAAACCTATCTTATACGCCGGCATATACGGTACTCTAATTTTTAAATTCTTCAACTTTCTCTGCAAAAATGAATTTTGTACCATTCATTGTTTTTAATAATGCATTTACACATGTCGACTTATTGAGGGTCGTCCATAATCACAACATTTCCGCCTATGTCCGCTGGCTTTATTACAATTTTAGAGTTATTTTGTAGCTTACTTAAGGCTTGTCTTTGCTGTCTAGTAAGACTATCTGCTCTAGGCTTTGGTAATTTTAGGTGTTCTATTTTTTTGTGACCTGTGTGAGAAAGCCCAAACATTGGGATTTGTCTGAAGAGATGAGAATTTTTTAGATCTTATTCAAAAGTTAGAATTTTCCTGTGTAATTCTCTAAAGGTTTAATCATGCCCCCTGTGGGGATATCGGGAGATTTTGTCAATTATCTTCCTCCTCGTCTTCCTCACTATCCCCATGCTTGCTTTCCTCATAGAACTGTAGAAGAACCTTTCAAACCCTGAAATCAAGTGCAGTAAAGGATTTCATATCCTCAAACATTTGTTTCTCTTTGGAGACTTGTTCCTGCTCTTTGTCCTATAGAAATCTAAATGTTAGATTTCTAGCAAAGAGTTTGAGATCTTTCACTAACTCAAAGGTATCTAGCATACGAAGTGGGCAGAATCCTAAATATAATTCAAGAACTTTTATTTCTTCCCTAGAGATGTTACAGTATATAAGGGAATTTTAATGATGTTCAATTTTTCAGAATCTGGCCCCCCCTCATAAAGAATGGTCCAGGTTCCCTGATCTCTTTGACTTCTGTTTTTTTATTTTGGCTTAACAAAGGAGAAGAGGAAGGAAAAACAGTAGACAGAACCAAACTATTTGTTTGTAAGGAATGCTCCTCAGATTTATCCATAATTAAAGTTTTGGGTCTGGCTCCTCCCATATATTATGAATTCTCTATATATATATATATAATTTTTTTTTTCATTTTGATAATTTTACACTTTCAATTGAAGTTGGTCTGGCCTGTCCTCTTTCCTTTCCCATGTACACCTGGAAGAGAGATAATTACTGCCAGCGACTTAGTATAGCCAAACTCATTGGGACAAGGTATCTGGTTTTGTCCCTCTATTTCTAATACATGTTGAATGAGTATTTGGATGTTGACATTTTTGTCTCTATCTCAACTGCTCTGCTTTGCATTTAATATGTTGAAGAACCTCCTGAGGAAGCTAGTGACTCAACATTGCGAAACACATAGACCTGTTTGCTGCTCTCGCCAGTAGGGCATTTTGTGCTTTTTTATTGTAAAATGAAATAGAAAGCCTCCTATTCTTCCTGAGGAAGCATATGGAGAAACGCATCAAAGATCGGGCTACCCCTATCTGAGGAACCACAATTTCATGAGTGTTGATACTATTGAATTTATACATGTTTGTGATCTATTGGTTTATTGGTTTTCTTCCCCTTGGGGGGCCCGGGAGGTTATAGTTGGTTTGTGTTAGAAGTGTACAACACCTATGATCAAGCGAAATTTGAGCAGATGTTTCTGTGGAACTTTTAATACTTTGAAACAAATAAAATACAAAGATTTTATTTTAAAATTGTATGGACAACAATTGTGTGTTTTGGTACCTTTTAAAACCCATTACAATTTTTGTTTGCACTAATACATAAATCCGGAGAAAAACTATAGATCAGATTCCACATCTGCTCAAGTAACCCCACCATTGAGGCCACCATAGTAGCTGTGATGTTTGAGAAAGAGAGGAACCAGCTATATATTAAGGTGAAATAGGAAGCCATCCAGCAGCCAATATCAGTATTGATAGCTGCAACCAATAGATCACTCCCCTGACCTAAGGCAGTCCCCTTATGATGAAAAAAGTTTTAAAAAATCAATAAAAAAACGATAGTTTGATTCATAACAAATATCTCCCAGGTCTCAATACAGGCAGCAGATGCTCTGGATGACAATAGTGTTTACAGCATAAACAATTGACGAAAATAGATTATTTTTCATGTGCATTGATATGTAACATTAAAAAATGGATTTTGACTTTGAGCTTTTTCCTTTTCACTACTTGACATAACAATTACACCTGAATTCTATCCTTTTTGTCGGAAGGCTTTCTATATTATGTTTTGTGTTAGAGTACTTTTTTTTATTATTTCCCTATTTCTGCTCAACTCTATAACCTTTGGAAAAAAAATATGCGTTTTAGAATCTGCTACCAAATTATACTCCTGTCTTCCCCAACAACAAAAAGTGTATATGTTAGTGTAGACTGCTAAAGCTATAAGTTATATGGTGGGAAACTGTGATATCCCTGAAATGAAGAGCACACTTTTAAGGTAAGTGTACCATAATGTGCAAGTACCTTACCTTAAAAGTGTGCCCTGCTCCAGTGCTTTGCAATGCATTTTCGCTCGCTTCTGGGTTCCCAGGTATCCTCTTTGGTCATTGGGTGACCTCTAATGATGTAGCTCCTGCACATGCTCACAAGAATTAGATACTCCCTAGCATCAGGCCCATTTGTGGCATCTCAGAGATGCCATGAATGAGCTGCACATTTATTATATGGGGTACACAGAAAAAAAAAAATACTAGGGGAAAGGGTAGAAATGTCTTGCTTGTGTACTTGTGTGATACAATTTATTGCACCAAAGCACCTCATTATCAATTCCCCCAATTGTTTTAGCTGCTAATAAAGTTAGGCAATCCCCTGTATTTATAATGTCAGGCAGGCCTAAAGGGAGAGCCAAAGGTTCTGCACATGTAGCTACTAAAGGGTGATCTAACTTTTATTTGACAATAAAACCTGTCCGGTCTTGCCCTCTGAAATTAGTAAAACTGTTTAAATACTGGGAATCAAGTCTTTACAATATTTCTGTCTTTTTTGTGAAATAGTACACACTAATTTTGATTTTTTGATTAAAACCTGCCTGGTGTCTATCTCGGAAACTGCACAAAAAGGTCCCCAGCACACTTTCAAGGAACATGTGTATAACCAGCCAGCCTGCCTATGCCCTATGATTTTCTCCCCTGAAACTATGCCTCCAGTGCTGTGGAGCCAAACACCAGATTTAATAATAACATAATGGCAGCTATGGCAAAGGGAGGACCAAATGGGGGTGCTTTGAAGCACACTACTGTTGCAAAAGTGTGTGGTGACATGCTGCGCACAAATAGCAGCTTTGCCTGGTTCAGCAACATGTGTCATACCAATTCCACATTGTAGGAGAGCAGCCATCCTTTCCCATTTGTTTTTTTCCCCATCAGCTATGCCTACAGTGTGTTGCATCCACCAACCATCAGGAAATGCAGCAAATAACTTCTTTACCTTGCATCGTCTGAATGGGTCACTTTGTGCTTCCTTTTTGATAGTGGAAGTAGATTCCCACATGATTTTCCCAATGTATCAAAGAGGGGTTACCCAATCTGCCTTGAAGCTGCCCCAACCCTCCTCCTTACTGCCAGCACCTCAACCCTCCTCCTACTCTTCATTACCCCAACCCTCTTCCTCCTTGTATTCCTCCTCTGCCTCATGGCATTCAACATGCTGGTGGAGGGCAGGGAAACTAGGACAAGGATTAGCAAACTAATGGCGACGCTGCAGTGTAGCTCAGGCCACAAATACGGCCTAAATGAGATGTTATGCAAAGTTTGCATGGGCAGCTGGGCATGGTGGTGATTTATTTTTCCCCCCACTTTTACAGTGATGGAGCAGAAGTCGTTAGACAGCCACATCAAAATCAGCTGACTCCTCATAGGCAGTTGATGGGAATATGGCAAGATTAGCAGGGGAGGAGGAGAGAAAGGGTGCAGGAGCATTACTAAAAAGGCAAGTGACTGCTCTGAAAAAGGGTGCATTAACAGGCCCAAAATAAATAGCTTTCATGCGCCCGTAAGGATAAAAGAGTACATTGGAAGGCCCAAAATACCTGGCTGCTATGCGGCCTTGAGACTCAGAAGGAAAAATTTGCATTAGCAGGCCCAACAAAAATGGCTGCTATGTGTCCTTGAGGAGGTGGTGTAGAAAAAGGGCACATTGTTAGCACTATGCAGCCTTGTGGAGGTGGAATGCATGCATTTTGTGGCCAACTTGTCTCCCATTGAGCCCTTTGGTGCATAGTCAGGTGTTTCCTCATGTATGTGGTACCCAAATGGCTGCTACTTTTCTACAGCTGATACACTGCAGGCAGAGGTTGCAGACCACAACAGTGCTGTTGGCAGTAGACATGGTAAAAAAAGAGCTATACTGTAGAGCTCTTTCAATTTGCTGTTTATTCATGTGCTTTCATGTACTGTCCTGACACTTTTCAATTTCTACCAAAAACATACCTGAAGTCTATATTTAGAATAGATGGGGAATAATCCGAGATATGGGGATGGAATTGGGCTTGGAGAATGTGCTCTTATGGTTTTAAAGTGTTGTGATTTTAAGACAATGCAGTGTTGTACTGCTAAAAAATATGAAATTGTTGTGCTGCTGGCCAATTTGTATGAAGTTGAGGGCTTTAACTTTATTTGTTTACACCTGAATAAGAAATTCAGGTGTCGTAACTAAAATATTTTTTAAAGTTGTAATGAATCAGATTGGAGTGACACTGATGGCGTATTTAAGCCAAGCAATAATAACAGTGACAAATCATTAAATAATAAACAATGAGATTCCCAATTACAATGTGAAATAACATAAAAAGTCCATAGGAGTTCATATGAGTGAAACCATGATCATTTGAAAATGCATTCACATGTGATTTAGTCTTTGCTCCTCCACCGTCTGATTCCACCACATGAACACTCAGTGAAGTGCTGCTCACCTTGATTGTTAGACCATCACACAAGGTCTAACCGTAATGTTCCCCCTTATGCTATATGAGCCAGGTGGGGATTTACCCTCATAAGAATCCACTTATGAAAGTTCTCATATCCTTCTTTGTACGTACTCCAAGGATCCCAATGGTATATTAGATCAAGCCAAAATAAAAAAGGGTACAGACCATAGTGCTCTTCGTAATACTTCGTAATTGTACTTTTGTAATGATTGCTATATACAGTAGGAGTACCTTGATGGGGTGTGGAACTCAAATATTTACCAGAACGCCATTCAGTGGAAAGAGAAACCTGGATATTTCTCTGTCAAAAATAATTAAAGAAAGTGTATTCTTGTTGTTCTTTGTAGATTGTTGGCATTGCTCCTGCAGTATGTAATCTTTTCTTACATGCAAATTTTGGTATAATCAAAGAATGTACTGCTTATTTCATTAGATAATCCTGCAGATTTTTTTTTAACTCTGGTATATTTGTCTGCTGAATAATGCACATTAATATTATTTTGAAATGTGTATAATGATATGTATTAATGTTGCAGCATAGTCAAAATGATAATGTTATGGTTTGCAGTGATATTAAATTAGGCTCATTGTGTATATACAAATATATTTCCTAAAAGCACAATTTTCAATAATACTAACATGTTTTACTTAATGTTTGCCATTAAGGAAATATGAATTTGAATTCTTGTTGGGAGAAAGTAAAATGTCCCTACCAAATTTGTATAACCTTTGATGCTTTAGCCATTACAAAACTGCACCTGATTCTTATCAAGTAACACTGTGATTTATGTACTGTATAGTTTTGAAATTAAACAGAATGTATTTTTATAAAATAATACATAGGATGTATCATAACTGTAGCTGTTAAACTTTTGCATACAACAGCTGGCTTCCTTTGCCTTACGTTGTATATTTTCTATGTGTGTTTCCATCCTATTGTATATATATGAATATATATAAAGAAAAAGCATTTGGCTCTATTTTTTATTGTTTTATTTTTTTCTAATTTGTTTTTCTTGCTTTGTTTTTCTATATTTTTGTCTCTTTCTGTAATTTGTTTCTTTTCCGACTTTGTTTTTCCCAATCTCCCCTTTTCCAAATGCTTTTTCTTTCTTCAATGAAACCAAAACTAAACTACCATATCTCTCTGTTGTTTGTTTTTTTTTTTTCTTTCCTTCTAATTTTTATTTTTGGCATCTCCCCCTCCCCTTCCTCGCTGCCCTTTCTATATTTTTCCTTTACTCCCAATTCTCCCAGCTTACCCATGAAAGGGGTGAGATGCCTGTCACAAATTAAAAAAAAAGAGACCCATCTCCTAAAACATGAACTTTTAAATTGTGGCATTTTAAGAAAAAAGTTTTTTTATACTTTTTAATTTATTTTTTGTGACGTTTCTCTAAACTTGTCGTTTATTCGTTTTTTCTTTCTTCCTCTATCCCCCTCCCCACTACCACTCTGTTCTGATTTTATTCCCATCCCCAAAATCCGAAGTTCCAGCACATCTGACGTTAAGCAACCAAGGTACGGATTTAATCCACATTTTCTTTTTTTTCTTACCCTATCCCTAAATTTCTTCTGTTAAGTTTTTCGTCCTTCATTCTGTCTTTCTCCTTTCCAACTTTCATAATGCCATATCTGACTTTCATAACCTCTCTCTTTGCTCCATATGTGTCTCATGCATCACTGGTTTCAATCACTTGCCAGTATCAAGTTCATCCATTTGGGTAAAATACACTTGAGAGAACTAATGTTGTTCTTTCTTTCTCTCTGTTGCTCTCTTTTTTTCTCTCTCTTTTGCTCTCTTTCACTCTGTTCACTCTATCTCTCTCTCTCTCTCTCTCTCTCTCTCTCTCTTTTGCTTTTTCTTTCAGGTTCTATTATTGTTTGTGTTCCTTTCTCTCTTTTGTTCGTTCTCTCTCTCTCTCTCTCTTTCTTTCTTTCTTTCTTTCTTTCTTTTCTTTCTTTCTTTCTTTCTTTCTTTCTTTCTTTCTTTTCTTTCTTTCTTTCTTTCTTTCTTTCTTTCTTTCTTTCTTTTCTTTCTTTCTTTCTTTCTTTCTTTCTTTCTTTCTTTCTTTCTTTCTTTCTTTCTTTCTTTTTCTAAAAAAGGACAGATCAATTAGAAACTAATATTTTAATGATACATGAAAGCATTAAATATTTGGTACCGAGGGCAGTGGTGTGCAGTTACCTATACCAACCAGATATGTGCATTATGTTTGCACACTGGTGGCACCAAACCTTTACATTTCAGTGTGCGATTGGTTTTGGCATTCAAACTAAATTTTATTTAATTTCCAAACATAACAAACAAGTAATCATAACTAATCTAACTTTTTTTCTATAAAGTGTTTCCCTCACATTTATATCTCACAGTTCACCAGAGAAATGTTTTATTCATGGACAGAATTCTTAATAACATTCTTTAGTAAGTATCTACCCACTTTAAGCAGGATATGACTAGAGTAGAGACTTAGAATTAAACTGTAAACTGGAAGACTTTAACTGTATAACTGGGAAATAATGACAGACAATATTGAAGCACATGACAGAAGTGTAATGGGCTGTGGACAGAGTGCCAGCAGAAGGCAGCAGCATTAGAGAGACAGAACAGTAGAAACAATGCCAAAATTATAATTCAATATATTAAAAGTGGAGAAGATAATACATGATACATAGATAAGGTCTGTTTATTTATAACACAAAGCCATGCACTGTAAAATTACAATGGTTAATGAAATGTCAAATAAAACATGTTTTTTTTACCAAGGAAAAAGCAAAAAATATACATGTAACAGAACACAACAGATCAAGTGAACATAATACCATTACTAAAAAGCCCAGGGGATTGATAAAATAAGAATAAATAAGCATATAATTCTGTGGTGCTTTAGGATACAAAGTATGAATTCTGAATTAGCTATTGTGGATCCAATCACGTGGAAGGATAAATCCTTTTTTTTTCCTTTGCCTTTTTGTTTCACATGATGGGGTATTCTTTGCAAAGCAAATTTTTATTTTCACTTATTTACTCAGCTAAGTGAAAGGAGAAACATGCTCTACTCCTTTAGTAAATCAACTGCTAGTACGGTGTAAACTAGGGATGTCCCTATACCAATACTAGTATCGGTATCGGGCCGATACCAGGCATTTTCACGAGTACTTGTACTCGTGAAAATGTCCCGAATCTTAAGGCCGATACCGGCCCTTTACATTTTCAAAAGAGCTGCGGCCGTCCAAGTTCCCGCACGTGTGGGGACCTGAAGATAGCTGTCCATGGCAGTGCCTGTCCGGTTCTTTATCTCCTCGTCCTCCTTCCCGGTGCAGGCACTGCCATGGACAGCCCCGGGGCGGAACTACTGCCCCGGGGCTAGAAGCTGGGGTTTCTGCTGCACACTGACAGGATACATGAATGCTATTCTGTCTTAGGGACATGTATCCTGCTTTGTGGATATGTATTTTCAGAATACATGTCCCCAAAGCAGAATACTATTCTGCCTTAGGGACATGTGTTTTGCTGTGGGGACATGTGTTCAGTTCTAGTGACATCCGTATTTAGCCCTAGTGAGAAACTGCCCTAAAATCATCAGTCTGTGTTGTTTTAGAAAAAAATGTCACATATCCCTTTAAGAAAAAGTATCGGTAATTGGTATCAGCAAGCACATGATTGACAGTACTTGTACTTGGTCTTAATGTGGTATCGGGACATCCCTAGTGTAAACACATTCATAATACTCCACATTTGGGATACACAACCGAAAAAGCCAGACTGTCTTTTGTTAGCTAAAATCATTCAGTGTTTTTTGGGGGGGGATCATGAGTAGGGATGGTTTTTAAAAATTGTATTTTTTAAAAGTGTTTTTTTCATTGATACATGTCCCCCAGGGCAGTACCCGGATCCCCATACACTTTTTATGGCCAATTAATTGCATATAAGGCTTCAAAATGGGGACATTTAATTTTCTGAGTTCTACCCCCATAGACTTGCATTGAGTTCTAAGTTTGAATTAGAACTATTTCCCTGTTCGAAAGTTCGAGTTAGAACCGAACACGGGGGTGTTCGGCTCATCCCTAATCATGAGAAAGCAGCCTAATGCACCATACCCACACAGTTTAAGTATAACTATTTTAAGAAAAGATCAGCTGCACAAGAACCAGTGTTGATGAAATTCAACGTTTTATTGAAGTAAATCCAAACAAATTCCAAAAAGAAATCCAAAGTATGATATGCAACATAATTAAGCCCAGGTGGTGAAACGCATGAGAGGCATTGGTGTGGGGGAAACTCATGGTGGTGTACAGGTTGCATATCATACTTTTGGATTTGTTTTTGGAATTTGTTTGGATTTACTTCAATAAAACTTTGGATTTCACTTATGTGGTTCTTGTGCGGCTGATCTTTTGGAGATTGATTTGAGAAGTGAGAAGCACACTTAAGCCTGCACCCAGAGTATGTATTAATTGCAGCCATGGATAGAATTGGAGCAGTGTGTTCATAGAGTTCTTATACATTTATTTTAAGAAAAGGATTGTGTAGCGCTGTGAAAATAAAGTGTCATGTAGAACTAGTATCAACAACTTAATCCTTGCATCTACATTAAAATTAATAAAATCCCAACCTTATTGTATATAACTCTCATGTATATAAATAAATTAAAACACACAATATTATAAATGGACAAAAGTGCTTACAAATAAATATATAAAAGTGATTGTGTGGTCATCCCTGTAAATATGTTAATAAAGTGCAACTGTATTTAGTCCATATAAAGTGCTTCAATCATGCAAATAAATCCAACGATGATGTGTTACTGGTGCATCCACTCATGTTTTAGATGTATAAATCATGTCTTCACCCATGTAGAGCGACAATATCTGCCTCTCACCTTATGATTAGACCTCTCAAATAGAAGGTCATAAGCACAATACCCCGTTTGCAACCAGGAAGGGGTTCTGCTGCCTTTGATCAGTCAACAGGTCAATTCACAGACTCCTCCAATGTTTGATTTCAATTAATCCAGTAGATGTCACTCATCCACACCGAAATAAGAAAAGGATAGATCATCGCATAGACCAATGCATAGTCCAATATATGGATACACATATATTGAACTGAATTAAACTTTGGAACAAAAGCCTGAGGATTTAAATGTACATGCCGCTAAAGCGTATTCAACTTGATGTGCGTGTTTACGCTATTTACTACGAAATTGTGCTAACGCAGTGTGAAAATCGTGTGAACGGAAGCACAGGCATACGCAGCTGGCTTCTCCAGATCTCCACATGCCAGTGCTCTTTTAGAGAATAATAAAAACATGCATTTGATGACTTCACACACAGGATTACTATGGCGCCCCCTGGTCTATGCGATTATCTGTGTCCTTTTCTTATTTTGGTGTGGATGAGTGACATCTACTGGATTAATTGAAATCAAACACTGGTGGATTCTGTGAACTGATCTGTTGACTGATTAAAGGCAGGAGAACCCCTTCCTGGCTGCAAACGGGGTATTGCGCTTATCTTTGAGAGGTCTAATCATTAGATGAGAGGCAGATATTGTCATTCCACATGGGTAAAGACACAATTTATACATCTAACACATGAGTGGATGCACCAGTAAGGCCTCAGTCACACGAGAAAAAGCCAGCACAGAGCTGTTCTCATGCATGGTTGTATGGATGCATGGTGGTATCGGGCAGCTCCCTGGAAGGACAGGTGCTGTGTGTGATTAGTATGCAGCTCCTGTCCTTCTCTATGGAAGTACGCGGCTATATGCCACCCTACATCTGTGCGGGTGCCGGTGTCGCGTATGGCCGCGTACTACCATAGAGAAGGACAGGGGCTGTGTACAAGCACACACAGCACCTATCCTTCCCGAGAGCTGCCCGATACGGCCGTGCACACAGCACGGAGCTGTACGTGCCAGCCTTTTCTCGTGTGAATGAGGCCTAACACATCATCGTTGGATTTATTTGCATGATTAAATCACTTTATATGGACTGAATACAGTTGTACTTTATTTCCATATTAACTGGGATGACCACACAATCACTTTTATATATTTGATATATTTATTTGTAAGCACTTTTGTCCATGTATAGTATTGTGTGTTTTAATGTATTTATACACAAGATTTATATACAATAAGGTTGGGATTGCAGATGCAAGGATTATATTGTGGATACTAGTTCTCTGTGACACTTTACACCATGCCCGGACAAGATCCGGACCAGAAAATAAACAAGCTCTGCAAGTCAGCGCTAAGGGCCGGTTCACACCATAAACAGTGCGTTCCAGAGCAGTCAGCTGCTGGAACGCAATGTACTGCATCCCGACCGGCTCCCTGCATCACAGTGCAATCACCCGCACCAGTACGCGCGGCACATCAGTGCCTAGGTTCCGGTCCTGTGCAATCTTAAAAAGGGCTGTAAGCACTATTTTTTCAGATCACACTGGACCGGAACGCAGGCACTGAATGCAGGGAGCCGGCCGAGATGCGATAAAGTGCGTTCTAGCAGCAAACA